AATAATATTGATAATAGTAATATATAGATAAAAATGGTTATAATATTACTAATAAAGATTTTAATAATAGAAATAATCATTATATAAATTTATTTTTTTTTAATTAGTTTTATTTTATTAATAAAAATTTAATTATTTTTATTTTTTTTTCATTTAAAATAATTATATAAATTTGTGTTAAATTTTAATAATTTTTTATTATTTTTAAAATTATTTTTTTTGTATTTTTTTAAAATTTTTTAAAATTTTTTTTAATAAAAAAGAGCGTGTAAACATTAAGTTCATAAATTTTTTTCTTTTTTTCTCTTTTTTTTTTATACATCTAAAAACAATATATAGACAATTTTTTAAATAAAATAGTAATAATAATAAAATAATAAATAATAAAATAAGCTATAAAATTATTTATTTTAATATTAAACAGTAAATAAATTATAATTAAATAGAAAATTAATAAATAAATAATAAATAATAAAATAAATAATAAAAAATGAGTATCTCGTTTGATTTGATATATGCAGGTGAGCCATTACCAATCACATTGCCATTGGAATCAACAGTATCAGAATTGAAAAATTTATTAAAGGATTTTACAGGTGTTGAGCCAGATCGACAAATGTTTTTAAATTTACCCAGCGGAGGTATGTATAAAATATTAAATATTTGTACAAATAATTTATATTAACTTTTAAAATTTTTTTTTTTTAAATAAAGCAAATGAAACTAGTGTTTTGGCATCAATGGATTTAAAAAATATTGAAATGGTCGAAGTACAGCCTAATACAAATGAAAGGAATGCAATAACCGGTAATGATTCAAACCATCCAATAACTATAAACGACGAAGATGAAATTTTTTTCGATGAGGAGATTAGAAGAACAGTTGGTTCACAACAATCATATACACAGTCACAAAATACAACCTCCACAACACAAGATGAAAATGGTGTTACAACCACTACAACACAAACTATGGAGGATAATAATGGTGTTATAACCCATACAACAACACACAGAGTTGGAACTGGAATACCAAGTATTCAGACTACTGTTACAAATAACTACGTTAGATCACCATATGCCACCAATTTTTACCCAGAGACAGATGAATTATCAGTTCAAAACCTTACAGACTTTTTAGACCCACTATCATACCCAAATTTTGCTGAAGTTATGTTACAGCAATATTCAGTTATTGTACCAGGTTCATTTAGTGGTAGTTTTAAAGATGCTTTAAATTTTGCAAAGAAACAAGGTAAATTAGTTTTGGCCTATTTACACTCTGAGACTGAACCATCTCTTCAATTTGTTTTAGATATTTTAAGAAGTGACGAAGTTTCACAGTTTATATCCGAAAATTTTATATTTTGGGTCGCCGAAATTACACCAGAAGCAGAGTCATTCCTCTTTTCATTGGTACAGTTTGAAAGTTATCCAATTTTAGTAACTCTCATGAATTTAGGCGCTTCTGAAATTTTAGATGTTTCTCAAGGTTGTTCAGAAAAAGTTGATTTCTATAATAAATTGGTAAATCAAGTGTTAACACATCATTCCGATTTAGAAAGAGTTAGAGTTGAAGAGTAGGTTATAATATTAATTATTTTTATAATTTAAATCATTTAAATCATTTATTAATTTTTTTTTTTTTTCTCTAGAGAAGAGAATGAAAAAGCTAGAATGATCGTTCAAGAACAAGATGAAGCATACAAGGAATCATTAAGAATAGATCAAGAAAAACAAAGAAAGGCAAAGGAGGAAGAACAAAGAGTTGAAAATAAAAAACAACAAAAACTAAACAATGCTAATTTAGTACCACCAGAGCCAGAAAAAGGTCCAAATTCAACACAAATTATTTTTAAATTACCTGACGATACCAAAATCGAAAGAAGATTTAACTCAAATGATAAATTAATTACAGTAAGTATTCAATTTACAGGATTTAGTTGTTTTTTAGGTAATTGTACTAATAGACTTTATTATTATTATTTATTATAGCTTTGTCACTTTTTAGATGGTAAAGGTATTGAAATTGATAACTATCAATTCGCTACCATGTACCCAAGAAAGATTTATAAAGATAAGGATCTCGAATTAACTTTATTGGAATCAAACCTTCACCCGCAATCAATTTTAAATGTTAGATCAGCTGATAATTAATTTATAGTTTTTTTTTCCATTTCTATTTATTATTGTAAATATTTTCATTATAAATTATATTTGTAGTTTTCTAAAAAAAAAAAAAAAAAAAAAAAAGAGCGCATAATAATAACAACAATAACAATAACATTCACCCAAACACACTCTTAATAAATTCTAATTTTTAAACAAACAATAGTATCACTATAGTGTATTTTTTTCTTTTTTAATTAACCAATAATAGCTTTTTTTTTTTTTCCTTTTTAAAAAAAAAAAATTTATAGGGGGGAAAAATGTATTGTGTGTGAATATATTAAAAACTAATTAATATTATTTATTTTTATTTTTATTTTTAATTTTCTTTTCTTTATTTTTTATTTATTTTTTCTATCTGTTTATAATTTAATTTATTTCTATTATTTTATCATTGCTATTTTTAATAGACCAAAATTAGTTTTGTAAATATTTTATTCTCCTATAAAATAATTTTTTCAGTTTTAATTAATTAAATTTATTTTTTTTATTTTTTTTATTTTTTTTTATTTTTTTATATTTATTTTTTTATTTTTTTTTTTATTTTTTAATTTTTTTTACAAGCCGCTTTGTTTAAAGAACTTTCTAAAATATCTTTTTAGTTCTTATTTTCTTTTTTTTTTTTTCATATTTTCTTTAATAGTATTTCAGTATATTTATAACATTACAAAAATATAATATTACATATATATATATATATATATATATTAAAATAAAACAGGTACAAGAAATGACAGAGATTAGTTTAGATATAAACAATATTAAGCAAAGTAGTATCGAACAACCAGATGGAGCATCAGTAATTCCAAAAAGAAACACATACAAACCAGATTTACAAAATCCAAAAAAGATTATTTTATTTGATGGTATTTGTAATATATGTGATGGTTTTGTTCAATTTGTTTTCCCAAGAGACTCTGAAAAAGTATTCTCCTATCAAGCACTTCAAACTGAAAAAGGTAAAGAAATTATAGAATACTATGGTCTTCCAAATGATCTTTCAACAGTTATTTTAGTAGATGAGGCTACTGGTAATTTTCTTACAAAATCAACAGCAATTTTAACTGTTTGTTATTATTTAAAGGTAAATATTAAAAATAATTTTATTTGTTTTTGTATTCATAATAATAATGTCCGATCAAAGAATCATGATCAACAACAATACTTTAGAAAAATTTAAATGACCTCTTTACATTTTTTGACTAATTTAAATTATTGTTTAATCTTTATAGGCACCATACCCATATTTATATAGTTTTAGTTATATTCCAAAATTTATTAGAGATTTTTGTTATGGAACTTTTGCAAATTATAGATATTTAATCATGGGTAAAAAAGATTCATGTATGTTTAGCCCTGCTTTAAGAGATAGATTTGTAGATTTCAAGAGTCCAATGATTTTAAATGAAGAAGAATCAAAAGAAATGTAAAAGGCAAATTTAAAAATAAAAATAAAAAGAAACAAAATAAAAATTATAAAACTAATCATTTGTAAATAAAATATCAGCCCCATCACTTTTTTATTATTATAATAATAATAATAATAATAATAGTAAAATTCAAAGAAAAATACTAACAATATAAATAATAATAGAAAACTAAATATTGAAAAAAAACTTTTTAAAAAATTTTTTTTTTTTTTTTTTCTTGAGTTTTAGATCTAGTCACATAAATTACAATCATAACCACGATGAAATTCATAAATATTGGGATTATAATAATTATTATAATCATGGATCTTAATTTTATATTTTGGCTTTTGATTTCAATATTATAACCCGCAAAACCACACATCCACACTCTCCACCATTTTAAATAAAACACTTCTTTATTTATATTAATTATAATAAAATTTTTAAATAAGCCAAAAATATGACAAAATAAAAAAAAAATAAAAAAAAAATAAAAATAAATATTAATCAAAAAATTAAAAAAAAAAAAAAATAAAAAAAAAACAAAAATAATTTTTTTTTTTTTTTTGTGGTTTATTGTCTAATAATAAGAACCCATTTTTTACTCACCAATTGTGTGAATGTTATTTTTTTTTTTATAATAGTTAAAATAGTTAAATTTAATACACATACATACATACATTCATAATAAATAGATTATAATAAATAGATTTATGTATTAAATTAAGATAATTTTTGTAAAAACAGTATATTTTTATATATCGTTTTTATCTAAAACAGAACTGTTATAACCAAAATTTTTTTTTTTTTTAAAATCAATTTTTGGTTGCATATAAATAAAATATTTTTTTTTTTTTTTTTAACAAATAAATATAAAATATAGCAACCAAATAACCAAATAATAGTTTATCATTATAGTTTAATAGAAAATAATTATAACTGTAAATTTTAAATATAAAAATACCAAAGGAATCAACATAGACATAACAAAAAAAAAAAAACAACAATAAATAATAAAAATAATAATATATTACATAGTAGTTGTTATGTGTGTTGTGTGTTAATATTTAAATTTTGGGGTCCACACATTTTTTTTTTCCTTAAAGATTTATATAATAAATTTAAAAAAAAAATTCATTTTGTTTTTTTTATTTTTTTATATATATATAATATTATTTAAGTTGTGTTTATTTATTTATAGTTGTATATTTATAGTATATTTGTATTTTTAGTATTTTATTTTTTTTTTTTAAAAAAGAGAAAAAAATAGAAGGGTCATTAAAATGATTGAAACAACTACACCACCATCACCAAAGTTATTGGTCACAGATGTAACATCAACATCAGTATCGGCACCAACATCAAACTTACCACCAAAATCAATACCATTGGCCAGTGACAATTTTGAAAATGAAGGTGTTAAAGGATTCGAATATAAAAAATATAGTGCAAATACAACGAAAAAAGAAAATAAAAGTAATGTTAGGGAATTAAAGAGGTTGTTTGAATCCAAAAAGTCAAGTTTTAATTCACCATTAAGAATATTGCCAAATTTCAAGGGTAAAAAAGATAAGAGTGATTCAGCTTTAGGGATAAATGATAATTTATTACCACCACCCACAACTACAGTTCATAAAACAAATACACCTTCAACAGCAAATAGTAATCCAAATTTAAATTTAGATAATATAATTTCACAGGCTGATAGAAAATATTATTTTTATGTCAATGAAGCTATTAGAAGTATGTGTTATTATTATAGTTTATACTATATTATGTGATAAATATTAATATTATTATTATTTTTATTCAGAAAATCAACCAATTGTACCATCATTAGCTATTAGAAGAAAATCAATTGATTTAACACATAGTCCAATAAAGGGATCATTATATGCAACAAAGTATCAACATTCATATTCTCCATCAACTAGAACAATTCAGTTAACAAAAAATAATGTTAATAGAAATTCAGCATCTTTAAAAGAGGGTACCACAACTACAGCAGTAGCACCAGCTTCATCAATACCATCCAATTCATCAATTCATAGTAGTTTGGGTACTGAGGATGTCGATAATAACGATTCAACATGGATTAAACCAAATAAAGCCAGAGATGATGATTATTTTACCGATAGAAATGTTTCACCATCAAGATTACCAGTTTCAAGAAGTACATTCGATTTAAAGTTCAATAGAAACGGTGTAACCAAAGAAGAACCAACTAATATTAAATTTAATAGTTTAACAGTTGCACAAGATCAGAAATTCAATCATGATAATAGCCAGCAATCATCATCATCATCCTCTTCAACTCATCAAAAACCGCCAAAAGAATCAAAAACATTCAAATTTCCATTTTCAAAGGGCAAAGAAAAATCATCATCATTTGTATTTGTACCACCCACAGAGCAGCAACAACAAGAATCACAAGAACCACAACCAAATACAGCTGAGGCGATTGCATTATCACTTTCCAAAAAAGATAGAAAGAAATTACAAGATGACAAAGAAAGAGAAAAACAAAAACAAAACACAGCATTGATCGAAGAAGATAAACCAACAAGATTATTCCCTTGGGTTACACTCAGAAGAATTAAAAGATCAAATACTGCAGATATTTCACCAATCAAACAGCCACAAGTTGCTATTGTTAAAGCAAAGATTGATATTACTCATGAATCTTCAGTAAAGCCACAACTTTCAACCGTACAGGTAGTTAGTAAAGCTGTATTATCACAACAACCCCAAGTTGCAACCACAGAGAAACAACAAGCTGTATTATCAAATGATGTCACTATTTCAATTCAACAAGAACAAAAGGAGCAAAAACAAAAGAATGAAAAAGATAGTTTAGAATTACAAAAGAAATTAAATAGATTATCAATTAAACAACAATTATTAGAACCAGTTAACCACAATGGTTCCAGCGAGCAACGTCAACAAGAAATTGCTCAAGTTGCAGAGCAAATTGAAGAGATTCAACAAAAAATCGAACAAATTCAACATGAGGAGATCAAACAAAAGCATCAACAACAACTACAACAACAAGATGCATTAAATAAACCAAAATTCATTTCATTATCTACTACTATTCTTAAAAGAGATCTTCAAAGTAGAGCATCAAGTTCATCACCAGTCTCACCATCAACATCACCCCATTCATCATTCCTTAGTGGTGAAGGGTCATCACCACCTTCACCAAAGAAATTTGTTTCAGTTGCTAAACCAACAAAAACTAAAATAATGTCAAGTATCAGCGATGATAGTGGTGAACAATCCCCAACATTAAGCACAGACTCAAGTATTAGCAACGGTAGCGATAATGGCGGCGAGCAATCACCAAATCAATTATCAGCATTACATCCAACAATGTCTGCACCATCATCACCAACTTTATCTCCAACCAACAAAGAAGCATTGATAATGATGGAAAAACATAAAATTAATTACAGTGATGATGGTTTCCTTTTAAATCCAAATCCTCCATCAATTTCAAATAGTGACCTTGCAGATGGTATTATTAGTAAACCAATTAATAATAGATTAGAACAATTGCTCACATCACATAGAAACAGATCAGCCTCAGTTGGTAGTATTCTTGAACAAATGTCTAAATTTGAAATTGACGACATCCCACCACTTAAAGTTCACTGTAGCAGTTTGGAAGAGTGTTTAGAGACTTTTGAAAAACCAGATCCACAACATGGCCGTTGTTATGTATTAGATTTAGGTAATTGCTCATTAGGTGATGAAGGTTTAACAACATTGTCGGATAATTTCCCAGGTAATTTAGAAATTGCAGATCTCAGTTGGAACGATATTGGTTGCGAAGGTTCAGATGGTTTTGACAACTTTTGTAGTATGCTAAGAAGATCTAAAAATTTAATTCAATCACTTAGTTTAATGGGTAATCAATTAAATCCTCAAATGATAGAGTTGCTTTTAGAATCAATCGAAATTCGTAATATCGAACAACTTAAAACTAAACAGGTTAAAAAGGGTTACAAAGGTTTTGGTTTAAATCTTAAAGAAACTGGTATTGAAAATGAAGGTGCAGAGCATATTGCTCAGTATATTGGTGCCAATAAAACACCAAGCATTATTGGTCTCGATCTTACAAGTAGTAGTGTAACTGATGTTGCTATGTCAGAGTTTTCAGTATCTCTCTCAAAGACCCAGTTCCTCACAACTTTAATTTTGGATGAAAACTATTTAGGTGATGACGGTGCAATTCTTTTAGCTGATGGTTTGAAATTTAATAAATCCCTCACTCATCTTCAACTTAGAAATACAGATATTGGTGAAAATGGTACCACAGAGTTATGCAATGCATGCAAATTTAATTCAGTACTCACACTATTGGATGTTTCTTTAAATCCTTGGCAATTAGGTGGTGAAATTTCACTTCAGTCATTAAACATTTTCAAACAACAATTATTTATCAATAGTAATGGTCCAAAAGTCAAGATTGTATGGAAAGATGATGGTATGGAGTCATGTTTAGAAATCGAAGAAATTTTAGATATTGTTCAATACTTTGGTACAGATAAAATTATTGATATCATGATGATGGGTATCAATTTTTCACCACTTGTTGAGAATGAAAAGCTATATGAATACTTACAGTTAGAAGGTAAACATATCGATAAAATATTTAAGCGTATCATATCACCAAAAGTAGATAATGCAAATCATCTCAATTCACTCAAATTGCTTGTATCTCTTCTCCCAATTCATCTCCGTGAAAATGAAACTTTCCTTACCAGTTTCTTGGACAACCTTTCATCTTTATTCCTTTTATTAGACAGAAGTACCAGCAACAAAAAAATCGATTTCCTTCTATTAGATTTATTAGATTTCTTTACCCTACTAATTAAATCAGATCATCGTCCATCATATGAAAAAATAAATGAAAATAATTTATTTACAAAATGTTTAGTAAGTATAATAATCAATAATAATTGATATAACTTTTTAAGTTGGGAAAAGATTCTTTGATATTATGAATATAACAAAATTATTGTGGAACCCAAAAAAAAAAAAAAACAACTAGTTATGCTAATTTTATTTTTTATTTTTTTTCTACCACAGGAATTATTTTTCAATTTCCCAAATCACAGTATTTTACATTATAATATTTTAAATTTAATTACAGAGACTACTCAAAGCACATATTTAAATTTCTATGAAGAGACAACCTTTACAAATGACTTTTTCATAAAATTAATTTCATTTGTTACTGATGAAAACGATAAACAACCAGGTTTAAGAAAAGCAAATTATGCCCATTCTTTAGAAATTTCAAATCTTTTAGATAGTCGTTCAAATAGTCCATATTTAAATACAGATGAATGGTGTCAATTTAAATTAAATATTTTACAAAGAGAACTACATTTGCAACAATCCTTCTTATGTGGTTTCATACCCGATAAAAATCAAAAAATTGATCAAGCATTATTAAGCAAATTTGAAAAAGAGTTTAAAAAATAAATTTTTCAAAACAATATAAAATTATAATAATAATAATAATAATAATAATAATAATAAATTAATCATAAATAAATATATTAATATTATTTTTTTAAATTTTAAAAGATAATATTAAAATTTGTATCAATATTAAAATATATATTTGCCTCCTTTTTTAAAATTTTTTTTTTAATTTTTTTAAAATTTTTTGAAATTATTTTAACAAAATTTTTTCATTAATTTTTTATACACACCAATTAAATAAATAAATAAATAATGTCATATTTAAATATAGATGATATATTAGCAGAGGAACAGGTAATTAGTTTTAATATATATAAAATATTAAAATATTAAAATAGTATTAAAATTAATAAATTAAAAGAAATTATCATGTAAATTTTTATATAATGCTTATAATTTAGGGCAATTGGAAGAGGGGTCAGCAGATACCGATATTGAAAAAGGAACAAAAATAGATTTACCATACTGGTTAGCATATGTATTGGCAAAGAAGGGTCTTGTTTCAGCAGAAATGCCAACTCCTTACCAACAAGACTTTAAAGATAAATTAATCGCAGACCCAAATGTAATATCAATGAGATCCCACCAGTATTACGATAAAATAGGTACCATGCTTTCATCATTGTAAGTATTCTATTACTTTTTTATTTTTTAATATTTAAATATAATATAATATTTACTTTTATTTTTTATTTTTTATTTTTTAGTTTTTCAGATCGTAGTTTAAATTTATTATTATTTAGAGTTTTTAGAGATAGATTTTTAAAGATATATAATCAATCACTCAATTTAAGGGAAACTGATATTACAAAGATCGTTGGTAATATGACACGTCTTGAAAGAAATATTTTTGAAAATGGTTATAGATCATCAATAGACTATGATAAATGGAGAAATAGAAAAGGAGAAAAAATCGAAAGAAATCCAAATATAATATTCCCTGTAGCTTCAAGATCATCATCAGTAAATAATAGTATTAATAGTAATAACATAAATTCATCATCAACACAATCATCTTCCTCTTCAACTCAATCATCTCAACCTAAAAAAGATACAGTATTAAAGAAAAGAAAAAGAATTTTCGATGATGAATCATAAATATTTTTGTATACATATTATTATTATAATAAATAGTTAATTTGGGGGGTAAATAAAATTATATAAATAGCAGCATTATGTAATGGGCAAGGTTAACACAAAAAAATAACATGAGTTAGAAATCATCATCATCATAATCGCACCATTATCGTAAACATAATAACAGTGGTAATAGTGTAAAATCTAGATGTGTATACCAATAAGGAACCCACAGTAAGCCTAAATATTCAAGTTAATAAATTATTATAATAATAAAAAAAAATAAAAAAATAATAATGTGTTTGTAAATACCAACCACACTCACAGTTGTTATTTAATAAAACACATCCCAGATTTGTAGTTAGAATTCCAAAAAAAAAAAACAAAAAAAAAAAAAAAAAAAAAAAAACATTAATTTTAAGTTTTTTAATAATCAACCACTTTATCCTATCAATATAAACATTTGTACATATTATATTTCAAAATTTTGAATAAAATTTGTTTTTTTTTTTTTAATTTTTTTCAAAATTTTTTTTTAAAATTTTTTACATCGCACTTTATTTTTTAAAAGCACAACAAAAACAATAAAAGAATTCATACATATATTTATATAAATAGTTTATAGTTAGTAATAAATAAAAAACATTTAACAACACATAATAGTAGAATAATATTTCAAATTGGTATTTTTTAAAAAGAAATTGAATTTATAATTTAGATACTATACAAGTATAGATTGTAAGTGGTAAAAATTATTGTTCCCTTTGTTTTATATATTAACTTGGTTTTTTTATTTATTTTTTTATAAATAGCTTTTTTAAAATATCAATAAAAATGATAGAAAATGAAGAAGGGGGTAATTGGTTATACTGTCAAAGGTGCGACAACAAATTAGTCAAATATTCAGATATATATTTTTATATTGACAATGATGGTGTCTATTTAGAGCTTTTCAAAGATTACACATTACCACAAAACCAAAATCGGTTTTCAAAACCAAACCCAGATCAACTACCTCAGTTAAATGTTAAATGGAGTTTGAAAAATAAAACAAAGAGTGGCGAAGATTTTTATTTCTTTGATTATAATTCCCAAAAGTTAAATAGTTCTAGACCATATATGGTTTGTTCTCATTCTCTTTTTTCAAGATCTGACTTAATGGATGACTGTGAATATGAAGTTGATGATGATGTTCCATGCTCAAATGTAATTGGTTATTATAATGTTGGCCCAAATAATATAGCATCATTTAGAATTGATCACGAAACCACATCCTTATTCCCAGGTTATAGCAAACACAGTGAATGGAAATCATTCGTTCAAATGGAGTTGGGAATTAAAATATTAACATCCAAAGATAAAATATACAATGGCTATCTTACTAGAAAAGATTCTCTACCCAATGTTTTCTCTGATGCTACATTTACCATAGATAACACTTTTGATAGTAATAATAATATTGATCAACCACTTAATACAACCTCAACCTCAACCACAACCACAATAGATAGTGATAGTATTAATAATAGTAGTGGTGAAAATAAAATAATTAATTATAAATCAACAATATATCCAAAAGATCCCACTGTACCAACATTAAAGAATAATATAGAGCCCAACTCTTATCAGGTTGAATCATTTTATCATATTTGTGCACAGAATACACTCTTAATTTTACCAACTGGCATGGGTAAAACCTTAATTTCAATAATGGGTTTAATGGAGTTCCATAGGTTAAACAATTCTCAAGAAGATACAGGTGATTCAAAAAGAGTATGTTTGTTTTTGGTCGATAGAGTACCATTGGTAGCCCAGCAAGCCAAAGCAATTGAAGAGTATTCAAATCTAAAAACAATAAAACTTTACGGAGAAATAAATAAAGAAGATTTAAGAAGCAAAATTAAAGAAAAGGAATACGATGTATTGGTATCAACTGTTGGCAGTTTTGTTAGTTTATTAGAATCTAAATATGTTAAAATTGAAGAGTTTTATTTTATTGTTTTTGATGAAGTGCATCATGCTGGTGGTGGTTCCCATCCTTTTAACCAAACAATCAACTTTATAAAGAAATCAGATATAAAAACATGGCCCAGAATATTAGGTTTGACCGCATCATTGATAAATATTGGAAATAATACCGACGAGGTTATAGTTTCAAATAAAATCAAAACAATTGAAGATTTAATGCTATCTAAAATTTTTAAACCATTAAAATTTTTATCAGAAGAGCTTACCGAAAAACCCACTATAGTTGATTATTCAGCAAACGATCAAGAGAAACAAGCAGAAGATATTATTAAAACTTTGCTAAGAGATCAATCCGCTAGATTAAAAGATATGGTCACAAAAGTTGGTAAAAATCCATATAATGATGAGGATTTGGATGACCCTACATCAATATCTTTTCGATTTGCCCTAGAACGTATTATATTTAAGGCCAAAGAAAACTTAACTATTGTAAATAGATGCCGTAGTTTACTAATGATTTTTGAATTATTTTCTATTTTGGCAACAAATGGACCGCTTCAAACATTAGAAGAATTAGTCAAAATCATCGAAATTGAAGAGAATCAAGATTATCATTCGGGTTATGACAATTATGACTCGTCAGATTCAGATATCAGTATTGAAGACAGCGATTACTATAGTGAAGACGAAGATGATGGAAATCAAGTTATGAGAGATGACGAAGAGTTGGAATCCAATAAGCCATTTTTACATGTATCAGCTAAAATAAATGATAAAGAATATTTAGAAGCTTTAAGAACTACTGAAGCTCTTTTTGATGATCACTCCGATTTAAATAGATATTCATCTAAATACTCAGTATTTTTGGAACAACTTTACGGATTTCTTACACAAAATGATGTATCATCAATTAAAATTATTGTATTTGTAGAAAGTAGAGCTGGTGCCGCCAGATTAACAGAATTACTAAAGAAAGAGGCTTTTAATGATATATTGAATTGTAAACTTTTAGTGGGCCAATCTGGTGATGATGGTATGTCATCACACAAACAACAAAAAATTATTAAAAAATTTAGAGATGGAAAATGCAAGTTAATTGTGTCAACAAATGTTTTGGAAGAAGGTATCGATATTAAAGAATGTAATATGGTTATTTGTTACGATAGCGTTCTTTCTTTAAAATCATTAGTTCAAAGAAGAGGTAGAGCTAGATCAGAAAATTCACAATTTATAGTAATACATCATACAAGCAAAGAAATCAAATTACTAAATTTATTAGTAAGTTGCCATTCGTTATAATTCGAAAACCTTAATAATAATAACCAAATACTAATATGTCTTTTAATTTTTTTAAAAATTATAGAGTAGTGAAAATTTATTAAATATTTCAATTAGAAGATACATTCATAGAAGAGAAGAGGAAATTAATACTTTTTACAAGAGATCTTTGGATTGGAAATCTTTAAATGTGATTGTTAACAGCACCGAGTCCAATGAAAAATTTAATAGAGTTTATTTATCAATATATCATATTGGCGATTTTCCAAGATTTAAACAAGTTATCGAACAAAAAATCAGTAATTCATTCATGGTTGAAATTGCTGAAGAAGTATCCTCCTTAAAGTTTGATAACGATCAATATTTATCCAATTATTGCTTGGTTATTATCAGATATGAAGATACAATTTACTTTAAAAATGTTATTGATTTATTTATAGATCATCTTATAAAAAACAAATTTACATTTTGGTGTATAAACAAATCATTATCATTTATTCATCCAGATAATGGTCAACAAGAAAATTTTACACAGTACCAATTTATTGAAGAATTAAAAAATAAACCAGATCACAATAAACTATTGTTTCAAATATTGTGTAATCAAATCACATATGGCAATATGGTAACACCAACAACCTATCATTTAAGTACTAGTTCAACTATCAAACACGAAATGCATTTCTATGATAAAAAAATAACAATTACTTTTAGAGAAGGTAGAAATGTAATTAGGGGAACAATAATGTTGAAAAATTTAGAAAATCAATTTTTGGTATTCAACATCGAAAATAAAGTATTTATTTTCTTATTTACTAAAATTCCATTTTTCTTTGAAAAAGAAAATATAAACGAAAGAACTAATAGAGTTTATTGGAATAAAATCGACCCGCCCATCAAAGATTTTGGTACATCTTTTACATATCACTTTGTATTCGATGGAGGCTACAGCCATAATCAATATTCAATTTTTAACAATATCTATCGATATGACAACTTTATTAAATATCTCGAATTCTATGGTTTTGAAAAGTATCAATGTAATATCAATATGGGTCCAGCCACTAGTAACAATCATATTCAAGATACCTTAGGTCGCATAAGAGTTGATCAAGAAACTTTATACCTTTTAAATTGTCTTTCTAGTTCATGTACTTTTGGCAAAACCTTGCAACAATCAGATGTAAAAAAAATATTCAATATTTTATGTCAAAACAAAGAAAGGGGTATTTTTGTTCTTAGATCATTAATTTCATCAAATAAAAAGTTTATAGATTTTGACAAGTTTCTAAATGATTCACTTCAATTCTACTCTCCGGATCAATATAGACACAAAATTAATGAAAAATCTACAAAATCAAAAGAATTTGCATTCGTTAAAGAAGTATTTGTAACTCCAAGTAGGATAATTTTCAAAGAACCAAAATTAGAGAGAACAAACAGAGCACTAAGAAGATTTGGTAGCGAAAATTTCATTCTTTTAAAAGTTGCAAATGAGTCACTGGAGCCACTAAGAGGATTAAATCCAAAACATCCACTATATACAACAATTCAAAAATACTTTGATAGTGGTATAGAACTATCTGGCACCAAATATTATTATGTCGGTAATAGTAATAGTCAACACTCTGATTTCAGTGCATGGTTTGTTAACGATTTAGCTCATGTTTTTTTAATTAGAAATTGGTCCCAAGATCAGTCTCTGGTCATGCAACCAAGAAAATTCGCAAGAGGTCTAAGTTTAATGTTTACAACTACAAGTCCATCATTCGTAATTCCACAAAGAAATTATTATATAATTGATGATATTATATCAAATGGTCATAACTTTACTGAAGGCTGTGGTTTTATTGGTAAAGATTTATCTCGAAGAATTAATGAATTATTCCATTATAAAAGTAGTACATGTGCTTATCAAATCCGTATTGGTGGTGCTAAGGGTATGCTAGTAGTTTCAGAGACAGTTGATCCCGATGGAGTTTATATTAGAAAGAGTCAGATTAAAACAAAACCAGCCCATTATGATGAACATAGAACTTTAGAAATCTGTAGTATTTCAACATCATCAAATTGCAAACTCAACAGACAAGTAATTGCTTTGCTTAGTTGTAAAGGTGTCAAAGACCATGTTTTCTATTCAATTCAAGATAGATATATGAATTATTTAGCATCAACTCTTAATGATGTTGAGTATTCTCGTAAAGTTTTAGACGAGTTTTTTAAAGATCTCAACGATAATGAATTACTTCAAGACAACTTTATAAGAAGAATTTTAATTACTCATTATAAATTATCAATAGAAAGAGCTCAGCAAAAATCACATTTAGATATCGAAAAATCAAGAAATTTATTAGGTGTCACCGATCCTACTAGACTGCTCCCTGCCGATTGTATTTTTATCCAAATTGAACAAGAAGAAGAAGATGGTTCAAGGCACTATGTACCACTTAAAGGTGATGTTGTTGTCACCAAAAACCCATGTACTCACCCAGGTGACCTTCGTATTCTTAGAGCTGTCAATATCGAAGCACTTCATCATTTAAAAGATGTTATTGTATTCTCAACCTACGGCAATGTACCAAACTTTAAAGAAATTTCTGGTAGTGATTTAGATGGTGATAGATATTTCGTCTGCTTTGATAATGACCTAATGATTAATGGAAATTCAATACCTTATCTTGGGGATAATTTAACAAAAGAAGATCCACCCCAAAATGTCTATAATGATCCAAAACTATTGGTTGGTCAGTATCTTGCCAATGTCGAAAAACAAAAAATAGGAACGCTTTATAATGCTCATCTGGCAATCAGTGATTACTATGGTGCCGATAGCGTTCACGCAATTGAATTATCAATTGAATGCTTTAAAGAAATAGATGCTGTTAAAACAGGTGTTCATGGCGAAGTTCCCCGTAATATTCAATTTCACCTTAACCATTTTGGTTACCCTCATTATATGAGAAGGGATGATAACTCACCAAAAAAGTATTATCAATCTAAAAAGGTTCAAGGACTAATGTTTGACCAGTTAGAGCAATTAGTTTATATTGGAGACTTCCTTCCAGAGATTTCTGTCAATGAAAAAAACTTAAAAGATGGTTATAATGATTATTTAAATAGTGCTAGCATTCTCTATCAAGAATACAAGAATAAAATCAACTCACTTCTCCAAAGATATGGGGGCGAGGATGAAGAGTCTCTATTGGTCGGTTTTATGGATCAAAATTTCAGCAGTGACTACTCAAAAAATATTCAAGATGATATTAAAGAAAACTATAGAGCTATTATCGACTCATTTAAAGTTGAGTTTCTTAAAGACTTTGGCTCTGGTATCATCGATGAACAGGTAATCAAAAACGAACACTATGGCGAAGTTGAAAAGAAGATCTCAGCGTGGTACTATGTTTCTTATAGTGATAAAAATGAAGATAGGGCTTTAGGATTTTATTGGATAGCGAGACAATTTAAAAAAATTTCAACAGATGAAGAGAATAATCAACAAAAGAATATTCTAAATGAAACAATTATTGGTTACATGGTCGAATCATATAGCGAATTAGTAGATGGTTATAATAAACGTATTAAAATTGTAAATACTCTTAATAATTTTATTAGCTCGCCACATATTATAAAAAATACATTATTTGGTAGTATGAAAGGAAGATTAGAAATTTATGGTTCAACCTCATCTTTTCTTTTTGAAAAAGAATCAAATTTAAATCTACACTTCAAAATATCATCAAACGAACTATTGGAAGGGATTATTAAATCTTTATTTAATGAATTGAAGATATCGTCAATCCCATCGCTTACCAATATCAAAGAGATCGAAAATGTTGGAGTCGAATTTGAAATGTATGGTATTCAAGTTGTAATCGGTTTTGAACAAGAAAAATGGGCACAATCAGTAATAGAACAATATTATTTAGAAAGAAATCCAATGATTTTCTCAATCTTAAGATGTCTAGTGGATTATAGCGTCAACTCAATATTAGTCACAAGCAAATCAAACATTAAAGTAGAAAGAATTGTTCATGGTCATAAAGAGTATTCAGACAGAGACGTTTCAAAAGATTTAACCAAATCAAATATTATCTCCCTTTTTATAAACTTTTGTATTGAAAATAATATTTTAGAAAGAATTGACATCAATTATGAATTCAGCAAAGATTCAAATCCAACAACTAATAAACCAGTAGAGTGGTTTTTAAAGATATCAGAAAAATCATCTCTTTATTTTTATAATGACAATGGTGGCAAAAAGAACAAAAAAGGAGCAAAAAAAAGAAAAGATCAAACTTATAAAGATTCAGGTATTGGCGAAATTTTATTATCATTCTTTAAATACTACTCTGACTTATTTAGTGAAATCAAAAATGAACCCAAAAGGGATTATAAACCAATCTTTCAAAATTTAAATGGTACTTATATTTCAAATCTACTTCAAAATAACATCGACCAACTATCACATTACTTTGATCATTTCCGTGTTGCCTATCACTCTCTTTCTGCTCTTGTCTCTGTTAAAGAATTTATTTGCAATTGTAACAAAGAAACCAAAAAAATAATGAATTTAAATAAAAGACAGCGTGAAATAGTAAATGTAAACGAGAAGGAAATCACTGAAAAAATTTTAGAATTAAGTTGTCAAATTATTATTGTTAAAGAAAAATTCATCGAACTAATTGGTAAACCTCAAAATTTAAGATTGGCTCAAGTTAAACTTAGAGAAATGTTATCCGATGAAGTTTTCACAAAAATGAAAAATAACAACAGTCATCAAAATCATAATTATAATAATCATAAAAACCATAAAAACCATAAAAATCATAAAAAACATAAAAATAGAAAATACTAAATGTATAATAATAATAAAACAAAAATTAAATAAATATAGGATTTTTAATTATAAAAAGATATTGTTTTATTTATTTATTTTTTTTTTTATAATAATATATTTATAAATTTTATAAAATATTATTTCTATATTGTAAATAAGTCTAATCTAAAGGATCATACCCCAATGCAGATTTATAAGCGTCATATACAACTTGAACTATACAAACTATAATTGTAATTATTAGTATAATTAAAGTTATTAATCTATGATATTTTGCTATTCTTTTTGGGAAAGGTTGAACTTGAGATTCTTCTGCGTTGAGATTTGATATTACCGAACCCCCAAATAGCCCTTGTTTTAGAGGTTGTGTTGCCTTTAAATAAAGTGCAAAAGGAATAAGAAAGTTGATAATGGTATTTAAAATTAATGAGGACCAGGTTAATAGATCAGCAAAAATCTTTTGATTACAAAATACAAATGCTATAAACCAAGGTGCAATAACTCCCCAGAAATATGATGACTTTTTTCCACAAATATAACCGACATATAAATTGTAACGAATTGTAATAAAACAAACTGGAATACCTGGCATAATTACACCCAAACTAAAAAGATAAGATGCTACTCTTGTTACTGCTGGATAATTTGCTCCACCCATTAAATTTAATATATTATCACTACCTAAATTTCCATATGCACATGCACCCAACCATCCAATAAACAAGTATCCAAACCATGAAAAAATACCTGAACTCCAAACTGCTTTATTTACACTAACTGAATCTTTTTTTTCATTTACCCAAGATGGTATAAACATTGGATACGCCCATGAAAACACAAATATACTGACGATCTATTTTATTTATAGAAAAATTATAAAAATTAATAAATTATATTTAAATGTAAATTAATATAATACATACCTGATAATAACTATGCCCAAATGCTGGCACTCTGCTTAATTCAATACCATTTAAAAAATATTGAACAATAAACTCACCAATTAAAACAAATAGGAATAAAAATGATAAAGTTTGAACAAAACTAACATTATCATTTAAATTCATAAAACCAGTTGGTATTGAAACTGCACAAATAATAATATACCCCAAAGATATACACAACAAATTTGTATTATACAACATATCTACATCAGGTGTAGATATAAATTTAAAATATGGGTGAACAACTAACGCAAATGATTTTTTAAAACAAAATACAAAAAACTGATCTAATGACTATCATTTTTTTAAAATAAATAAATAAGTATTAAATATAGTTAAAAGTAATAATTATATGTATAAAACTCACCTGAGCACAAATTGCAATTGATGCAATATTATATGCTTGAATGCATAGATTATTTAATATTTGAAATACAAAATATAATTTTTTACCAAAGAAATATTTGATTGCTACTGAATATTCAATATGCTTTTCATATTTTTTATTACCTGGTATAAGTGTTAAAGCTTCACATAGTAACGTTGATGCTAAACAAGACATTATTAAAAAAAATGTTAATGATAAAATTGTTAAAAACCATCCCGCTGAATTAAAAAATAATAATGTTAATAAATATCCCAATCATTCATTTACTGTACTTTCAATAATTATTGACCTACATTGTTGAAATACTTTGGGAATTGATAAAACACCTGGTCCGTAAATTTGATTAACTATAAATATAAATGATCCCCACTGCGCTATTGATTTTTCACCTAATGAATTACCTCTTTCTTTCTTTACATTGATTCCATAAGGTACCATTGCACCATCATCCTCCGAAATAATCAATGGTTCATTTTCATCTTCTCCGCCCAAATCATTTATTGATGTATTAATTGATACCTGCTCCATTCTTTAAAATTTTTAATTATTTTTATATATTATTAATTTTTTATTTATTTTTTTATCATTCTTTTTTTTGAATTATTTTTATTTGTTAATTGTTTATAATTTTTTATGTATAAAAAAAAAAAGAAAATTTAAATTAAAGTTAATTTTACTTTTGTTTTTTTTTTTTTTTTTTTTTATTTTTTTTTTTTTTATTTTATTTTATTTTATTTAATTTTATTTTATTTTATTTTCTAGTTTATGAATGTGTGTGTGTGTATTTTTGTGTTTTTATTTATTTTATAAATTTGAGATTTATATAAATATTTTATGATCACAAAGATATAAATAAAGATGTTTAATATGTAAGAAAAAAATAATTTTGATAAGATGAAAAAAAAAAAAAAAAAAGTTAAATTAAAAAAATATATTAAAAAATTTAAAATTATAATTAGTTTTTTAGTAACTTAAAGAACATTAAAAAAAAAGAAAAAAAAAAAAAAATTAAATTAAAAAAAAAATTAAAAAAATAAAACAAATAATTTAAAAATAGAACGGTACTATTTGTGAATGTGTGTGAAAATGGATTAAAAAAAAGAAAAAAATTAATTGAAAATTTTATTATTTATTTATTATAATAAAAATAGTAAATTTTTTATTTATCTAATTTATTTGATATTTCTACAACCTTTTTCTAAAAAATAAAAATATTATAAATAAACAAAATTAATTATAAAAACTTGAGAAAAAAAAAAAAAAAAATAATTATAATAAAAGAAACTTTTTATTTTTATTTTTGTATTTCTTGGTTGTCTTTATGAATTTCGATGTTTTAAAATTCCTATGGGAATTTATCAAAAAAAAAATATAAATATTTTTTTATTTTTTTATTTTTTGATATTTCTTTAATAAATAGGTAGAAATATAATAAAATTTGATAATAAATACTATGATCTGAAAAAATATTTCTTTAGTTGTTAACATCGAGAGTCCAGCATCCGCCAGACGGGGTTGGGTAAACATTTTGATGGCATGATTTAAATACTCCAAACTTTTTCAACTGCAGCTTTGTGATTTTTGAGGAGAAATCTAAAGCTGATAATATATTTATTATAAAATTGAACTAAATTGACCATTCTTTTATTTTCATTTGAAAACTTTCCGATATTATTCCATAGTGTATTTTTATTGATTTCTAATAAAACTATTTTAAAAACCATGTAAAAAAAAATTAATTTAAATTTTAGTAATATCTTACAATGGATATCTAAAATTAATAATTGAAAATGATATAATAATTTATAAATAATATTTTACAAATAAACTACTTTTAAAAGTAAATCTATACTCAAATAAAATAAAATATTTTTTTATTATTTTTAATTTTTTCCATTTTTTTTTTTTATTTTTTTTATTTTTTAATTTTTTTTTTTATTTTTTATTTTTTTTTTTATTTTAATATTTAATTTTTTTATTTTTTTTTGATTTAATATCTATATTTATGCAATATCATTCTTTTAATTATAAATACAGTATAATAAAATAATTTAATCATTTTATATATCTATATGTGTATATTATATTATAATGAAAGAAGATAAAATAACAAGAATATTAAATTGCAATTATAAAGAATTTGTAAATATATATAAAGATCAAGCAGGTCAAAATGACTATCATTTAAAAAGAGGCGATATCAATATCAAGTTTACCAATTGGACCACCATTACTAATACAGGATCATTAAATAAAGATTGTGACAATGAAGAAAGATCGATTACATTTCAAGCACCAATCAATGCACCCCAATCAGTTTTAAAAATTATTGGTAAAAACGCAACAACCATAAACGAAAATCAAA